GGGCCGGCCGGCGTGGACGCGAGCAGCGCCGCGGGGTGACCAGCCGGCCTCCGTAGAGAGGTGAGCGGCCCCTCCACCCTGCGGCGGCCACGGGTGAGGGGCTGAGCTCATCAAGCCAGCACGATGCGGCCATCGAGGACTGAGACGGCCCCGGGGCAGATGCCGCCTGGGCGTGGAGGGTGAGAGCACAGGGCCTCCCAGGCCCGCTCCTTCCTGAGGCGCCTCGGGCACCGGGGGCTGGGGGGCGGGGTGCCGTCAACAGCAGGGGCCCCCAGGGCCCAGGTGGTAAGCCGGCGCGGCAGGCCCTGGACCGGCCTCCAGCCTGCCCATCCCTAGACGTGCCCTGCCCGGGTGCCGCCTACCCTGTTGGACATCTGTGGGCAGCGCTGCTCGGTGGTGTGGATCAGCGTCTGGTCCAGGTCCACCATGAGCACGAGCTTCCGGTCCCGGTGCAGCCTCTGCTGGTCCTCCCGGCCGAGGCGCTCAGCTTGCTGCGGGACAGGGCAGGTGAAGGGCGCGGCCCCGGCAGCGAGCGGGTATGGGCACAGCGAGCAGGCCACGCCAGACCCATCTCAGGCTCCGAGTGGTGCAGCCCCCAGACGTGGCCGGCCGGTCCCAGCCACTGAGCGGTGGGGGAAGGCGTGGGGTACAGGACCCCCCACCCACAACGACCCCCCCCCCCCGTGGGCCGAGCGTCCGGGGGCTGTTAATGCTGGGAAGCACCGGGCTCCACCGGGACCCTGCGTGCGGCCCGCCGGCCCCGGGACTCACCTCGCAGCTCACCATCAGCTCGGGGACGCTGTGCACCATGGACACGGTGGCCGTGGACAGTGGTGCCTGCTGTTTCCCATCCTTGCTCTGCAGCCTGGGGTGAGAGGGGCACACAGCGGGTGTGGTGCTGGGGGCACCGCATGGGCGGGGCAGGCCAGGCCCAGCCTGCTGGGGGGCAGGGTCAGGGCCTGGCGAGGGGATGGACGGTTGCAGCAAACCCCTCCCGCTCGAGCCCAGGTGGGCCCCGAGTCCCCTGGGCCAGAGGAGGGCAGAGGGCGGACACGGGCACTCACTGGGTCAGGTCCTGTCCGCACTCGGCACACAGGCCCTTCATGACTACCGGGTGGCTGCAACCCTCCAGGCGCAGCAGGACGGCCCTGCGGGAGGGACACGGTCAGTAGCAGCAGACCTGCGACACTGGCCATGGGACGGCAGCTCTGGCCCGAGGCTCTCAGCGACTGTCCTTGGCGGCCCTTCTTGCCCTGAGACGTGGCTCCCATTGAGGGAGGGCGCCCAGCTGTAGCCCGGGAGGTGCACAGCCACCTGCACTGGGGTGCTGAGCCCCCAGCTCCCCAGAAGGGGGGCGATGGACCCCCGCCCGAGCAGGCAGCTTCCGACCACGGGAGGCTCCAGAGGCCTGGCGCTCCCACCCTCTGCCCAGCGTTGCTGGCTGGACGAGGCTGACAACTGTCTGAATGCTGTGCTGGGTCCGGGGCCTCCCCGCCTAGGTCAGGCGCTGAGCCGGGGCCACCTCAAGCGTCCTCCGGTGTCCACCGTCGCCCCCTGGACCATGTCGTTTTCTAAACCTGAGAGGCAGGAAGCTGCCGGGAGACGCACCCCGGCCTTCGCCCCACGTGCCGGGCGCCCCACCCCATGCGCACGGCAGCCAGCCACAGCCCCCGACATCGCCCGGCAGTGACCAGAGCGTGGGGGCGGGGCACCGCTGGCCCACGCCGCCTGGCCAGGTGCCTCCCGCCAAGCAGCCCTGACCCTTGCGCACGGGGCAGCAGGGGGTGGCAGCCCCGCCCTCCAGGCCCCACCTCCTGCTATGTGGGGGGGTAGAGGCCCTGCCGCTCCCAGGGGCCCAGGCCGCAACTCCAGCGCAGGCCAGGACTAGGGTCAGGGTCAGGGTCCCCCGACGCACGGGCAAAGGGAACTGCAGAGCGTCAGGGCCCAGGGGGACGCCAGCCCCGCCCCTCTGAGGGAGCCCCGGCCAGGCCAGCGCCGCCCACCGTGTCCCACGGGCGCACCCCAACACCCCGCGGGCAGACGCTCAGCGCCAGCGCCAGCGCGGGGCGCAGGGACAGGGGCAGGGGCAGGGCCGGGGGCTAGAAGGGGCTGAGCCCCGCGGCCAGGGGGCGCCACATCGCGCGCTCAGCAGCCCTAGCCCGGCCCGACGCCACGACAGCGCCAGGGTGACCCGTGTCAACCCAGCCCCGGAGCCCCCGGCAGCCACGAGGCC